AAAAAAAAGGAAAGCTGGCATTGTGTGCAACTTGTCCAAGGTTGTGTAATCCTGAACTCAATTGATGGTCTGTGCTGGGTAAGACATTTCTGAAAGTTTTGCTTTTTGAAATTAATTTGTAGGTTTTTCTTGGTCAACAAACAGAACTTGTAAGATGCCTCATCTCTACTTTTCTGAAAACCTGCTTACTAAAAGTCTTTTCTGACCAGGATCAAGTAGCGACCATGAAGTGAGTACCGGTCAGAGGGAGACAGGTGGACAGTGAGACAGTCAACACAGTAGGAAAGCAGAGTCAGCCTCCGAAAGTAAGGAGCCAGGCTATGCCCCGATAAAGAGTGTTCACACACTATTGACAAAGGTGAGAGTTTCTGTTTTCATTTTTTTTATTTTTTGTAGAGCTGGGCCTTTACATGCAAGGGCAAGTACAATACTACTGAACAGTATCTCCATTTTCTTTCCCCTCCCCTTCTCTCTCCTTCCCTTCCCTTTCTTCTCTTCTTCCTTTCCCTTTCTTATCTTCTCTCCTTCCCTTCCTCTCTCTCCTCCTCCTTCCGTCTTTTTCTCCCTCCCTTCTTGAAATGATTCTAATCACCAGCAGATTAGGTACCCTCACGTATTCTATCTGAATAACACGTCCTTTCTTCTTCCTTTCCAAACTTTTCATCATATATTTGATTTTCTTCTCATTACATTGTATAAAAGTTCCAGTATATTTCTTTCATTCTGTTTTTCTGTCTAAGACCAGGACTTGAACTCAGTACCTAGCATTTGATCATTGGCTGGTGTTCTACCAACTGAGCCATGTCTCCAGCTCCACAGTTTTTAGTAGAAAAGATTATTTCAAACATTCTTTTTTACCACTGATATTAAAAGTATTGCTTTAAGCATGAAGCTTACTAGAGGTTTTTCTGGTCAACTTGAAGATAAATTTTCTCCTTTTCATAGTTTGTTCCTGGTTTATTTTATGAATAGACATGGAATTAAATCAATTGTCTTTTCTGCGTTATTAAGATCAAATTATTTTTTCCTTTAATCTACTAGGAATGGGGCTTCGCAGCCTTTGCTCATTCTATGAAGAATTTGACCTTTGTTAGCTACATTTTACCAGAGGAGAACTAGATAATACATTATGTCAACTATGTTGCTAGGCAAACTTGTTTATGGTGAGAAATGAGCTCTGACAGATAGAGGCTACATCTGATTTGGAGGAACCACAGCTGAGCTATGAATGCCTACCAAGGAAGCCAGCACTTTGTGCTGAGTACACAACTCCTGCAAGAAGATCAGTCACCTGAAAGGAGGCTGGAAGTTATGCCTACAGTCATACGAGTCAACAGAAACCCTAGCTTCTCCAGAATACTCGGCTCTACATGGTACCTGACATGAATGCTGTCTCTTTGCCTCTAAGATGTCTCCTAGGGAACTAAGGGATGCTGTGGAAACTTCTGGCAAACTCATGAAGGACCCTTATGCAAGGAAGTGTAACAGTGTCTTAACTGGTAAGTTCTTGTCCCTGTGCACTGTCCTAGGCGGGAGGTACCACCACAGGCCTGTTGTATTCTTACAAGCCTGAAGATTGTCTGGTTGTTTCTACAACTCCCTAGTTGGCTCTGCAGGTCTATCTATGCAATAAAATATGTTCATTATTTTTTGAGTGTGTGTGTGCCTGTACTGAGGCTTGAACTCAGGACCTGGAGCTCTTCCTTGGCTTTTTAGTTCAAGGCCGGTACTCTACCATTTGAGCCACTTCTCCACTTCTGACTTTTTGCTGGCTAACTGGAGATAAGAGTCTCATGGACTTTCTCCTGCTCTGGCTGGGTTCAAACTGCAGTCCTTAAACCCCAGCCTCCTGAGTTGTTAGGATTACAGGCATGAGCCACCAGAGCATGACTGAATCAAAAGATTAGCCAGTATCACCCATTACTGACCATGAAACCCTAAACTGTTTAAGCTTTATACACAAGCTATCTGTGGAAAGAGTAGTTTGGACCTGAGTTCAAAACCCCAGTACCACCAAATAAGAAGGGGTATATTTTATACAATGACAAATCTAATGGCTGCTTCATAATCATTTTAAAATGTTTTTATTAAGCATTACTTTTAAAAAATGCAAGAGAAGAAAGCAATACCTCAGAAATGCCTAAAGGAAAGACAAATAATCACTATAAATAATGCACTTATAAAACCTCTTTTTTAATCTCCTCACACAACTCGATTCAAAAATATCCTCTGACAGATTTATAAATAAGCGGCTTCCCAGGAGCCAGCGCTTGGCACCGTTCCTTTCCTGCCAGCACCCTCGTCGGCAGGTGTGCAGATACACTTTTCTCAGTACAGACTCTGGACGGCCACCAGCCCTATCAAGGACTCACATCACCTACATGACATGACAGGAAAATCAGTCCAACCTTTCAGGAAGCTTCTGATTAAATCCTATGCGATTTTTTTTCTACTTAGGGAGAGCAGATCTTTCAGTGACAGCAACAGACTGCGCTTAAGTGGACACGTTCTCTGTTAACATCGCTTGTTTTCTAAGGCGGTCAGAACCTTCTGATTCTTGGTCTTGAACATCATGATAAAGCTGTTGGGCATCACTTTGCCCTGTCCATCTTCACCTACTTGGCCCATAATAATATAATTTAGACCTGAAGGAAGAGAATACATAAATGAATAATTTTCTTTATATACATCCTTTGAAACAACTTAGACCACAACTTTTCTCTGGGTAAATGTTTTTCTCTTTAAGTGATATAAATTATCCACTTACCTATCTAGGATAAATCTGGTTTAAGCAAAAAGTTAAACTCAACTAGCAGTAAATTCTAGTTCTGCTAGTGCAAGGAACCTATAAGCAGCAGTGAGATACAGTCAACGTGTGGTCCCTCGCTCTTCAGTGCTATCAGTCACGTGTAGTTTCTTGATGCTTCCTGTGATTGATGTACTGCATGAACATGAAAGGTTCCTCAGTGCTGCATGATGCGCCATCCTTGGACAGCCTCCCATAGTCCCATAATGCATCTGGGCTGCAGCTAGTTGACCTCTTCAGTTACTGTGTTGAACATTTTTGTTTTGTTGGTTGTGGGTCTTCAACTCAGGGCCTGAGCTTTTTTGCTCAAGGCTAGTGCTCTATCTCTTTAAGCCACAGCACCACTTCCAGTTTTCTGGTGGTTAATAAGAGATAAGAGTCTCATAGACTTTCTTGCCTGAGCTGGGTTTGAACCACAATCTCAGATCTCAGTCTCATGAGTAGCTAGGATGACAGACATGAGCCACCAGTGCCCCACTGTGTGGAACTTTCATCTGCATCTCAACAAGCATGTCTATGATGGACATTTTTTGAGGGCACAGGTAATTAAGATCCTTCTTGCACTTTTCTATTACTTTGGGGGAAAAACAGATGCTAAAAAGTATTCTGGTCTCCCCCCACCCCCAACTCTCTTTCTCTCTCTCTCTTCAAATGACTTCCAAGCTTTGAATTCTTGAATTCAAGCTGGAATTCTTTCTTCTGAAGTTCACTTCCACATTTCTTATTGCTTGCTGGGCATTTTCTTGTAAGCACAATGACGGCACTTGACAAAGTCAACTGTTCTCTCAACATCTGTCCCTGTTGATTCAACTCTAAAGATTTGAGATGCATTATTTATTTCTACAAGTTATAGGAATTGGGGTTACTGTTCAATTCTGCCTCCCTCCGGGGCCTTCCCTTGCTATCAAGTCTAGTTGACATATTAGGCATGACTTTACTTCTCTATACCTGCCACTGCTTAGAAAGTTCCATATCCTGTTCCAAGAAGCTGTGTCATCCCCTTGGTGATCCCAGAGACTCCCTGGGAGAGAGATGAGACCTTTCCTTATTACACTGCTTTGTTGTTGCTGTTGTCGGTCATGGGTCCTGAACTCTTGAGCTCTTCAGCTCAAGGCTAGCACTCTACCACTTGAGCCACAGCACCATTTCTGGCTTTTTCTGCTTATGTGGTGCTGAGGAATCGAACCCAGGGCCTCATGCATGCAAGGCAAGCACTCTACCACTGAGCCACCTTCCCAGTCCTACTCACCTCTTCTGAGGAGAGGGCACTGCTTGCAGACCACAACGACCTTGGCACTCATGTTCTTGCCAGCCTGCTGGATTGGCAGATTCCCCTCTTTATAGATGTTAATGATGGAGACTGTGGCATGGAGGCTTGCGCCCCGAGTGACGGTCGTGATCACAGTGCCAGTTAATACTGTAGAAGACAAGGAAGACGTCTTGGAAACTAGGTGACGGCAAATGCCAGGGAAGGCAAGTGCAAGGAGAAGTGAAAATAAAGATATGCTCTCTGTTTCAGAAATGAAGTAGTTTTAATGTTAAAGAAAAGGCCAGACTTGAGTTCTCAATCCTGAGTTTTTAAAAATGGTTCTGAGCCGGGTGCTGGTGACTCACACCTGTCATCCTAGCTACTCAGGAGGCTAAGATCTGAGGATCACAGTTCAAAGCCAACCCAGGCAAGAAAAGTCCATGAGACTCTTATCTCCAATAAGCCACTGGAAAACCAAAGTGGCTATGTGGCTCAAGTGGTAGAGCACTAACATTGAGCTGGATTGCTGAGGGACAGCGCCCAGGCCCAGAGTTCAAGCCCCATGACTGACCCAAAAAAAAAAAATGGTTCTGAAAGCTGAGTGCTGGTAGTTCAGGACTATTGTTCCAGCTCCAGGAAGCTGAGATTAGAAGGAAGATGATGGTTTCTGGTCAGCCTGGGAGGAAAAAATTCAGAAGACTCCATCTCAACAGAAAAGGCTTAGAGTCATAGGATATGCTCGTCATCTCAGCTATAGTGGGAAGTGTAAATGGAAGATCACAGTCCAGGTTGGCCTGGGGGAAAAATAGGAATTTTTTTTTCTTTTTTCTGTGAGTTGTGGGTCTTGAACTCGGCCTGGGCACTGTTCCTCAGCTCTTCACCTCAAGGCTAGCGCTCTACCATTTAAGCCATAGCACCACTTCCAGTTTTCCAGTGGTTTATTGGAGATAAGAGTCTCACGGACTTTTCCTGCCCAGGCTGGCTTTGAACTGTGATCCTCAGATTTCAGTCTCCTGAGTTGCTACGATGACAGGCATGAGCCACCAGTGCCCAGCAAAAGAGTAGGAATCTTATCTGAACAATAAAGCACGGGGCTGGTGGTGTGGTCAAGTGGTGGGACACCTACCTAAGAAGTGTGAGGCCCTAGTTCAAGCCCCAATACTGCGAAAAGTAAATAACGCCATGGAGCTTGTTACCCTGGTTGTTGGTTATTGATAACTAGGAGAGAAACCTAAATACTTGTTGAATATCAATCTATTGCTCTGATGGGGACTCTTACAGATATTCTGTCTGATATATGGATCAGTTACCATGTAAACGGTTGGCTTATGAGGCTCTGCTTATGAATATTTAACAAGACCTTGAACCTTTAGAGGCAATGTTGTACTTGTGGGTTGAGGTTGCATAGTGGCATGGAAGAAGCACTTGGACTTGGTCTGTGTGGTGAATGTTGACCTTCTGTCTCTCCCTCGCCTCCTCTCCGGCCATACCCTCTCCTTGAACTTTTTTTTTTTTTCGGTCAGTCGTGGGGCCTGAACTCTGGGTCTGGGCGCTGTCCCTCAGCTCTTCAGCTCAAGGCTAGCGCTCTACCACTTGAACCTCAGCCCCACTTCCAGCCTTTTCTGCTTATGTGGTGCTGAGGAATGGAACCCAGGGCCTCATGCATGCAAGGCAAGCACGCTACCACTGAGCCACCTTCCCAGTCCCTCTTCTTGAACTTCTGTGCATCCTAATGGGCCATCTGTTTCTAATGATCACAGATCTCTGTCTCTCTCTGGCCTTTTTGTATTCACCTTCTTGTCCATCCTGTCTATCTCATTTTACATGTCAAAGTACAGAATGGAGTCTAAGCTAAAAAAATTTTCGCATTAAAAACATGTCTAGTAAAATCTACTTGTTCTTTTCATATAGTGCCTTCTTTCGTCCATCAGTATCTTCACAGAAACAGTCTCTTGTAAGCCACACAAGGAGGGATGCTGTCTCTTTCAAAGGGCTGCTGTTGTCATGGTAGCAGTTTGAGGGGGACAATTCCCTGTGGCACAGGGCTTGCACTAGATTTTGTTTTTAACCCATTGCGTTCCTGCCCAGATAAAACTCAGCAGCACTCCCCAATTATTGTGACACCCATCGGCCAGTCGTGATGTGGTTTGGTACCTGTGCCATCAAAGTGAATCACAGTCAAATGGACTTATCAGTCAAGCTCAGGACTTTGTTACCAAGCGAGCCTTCATGCTTGTGTAGTGTATCAAGCTCCTGACACCTCACACTGTACTCTGATTCCTGGGGACGGGACTTCACTACACATACCAGCTGACAGCCAGGTGGAATCAGGCCGCTCCCAAAGCCCAGGGAGGGTGATTTCCTGAGCCCCCCTACAGAAGACTAACCTATATGGGATAGCAAATGGTGCTGTTTAGTTTCATTCTTGTGCCACTTGCTGGAATCTCACCAGCTGCAATAAGATGTAGGACGCCAGACTCCATACCCTCCAAACTCTCCTGTCTGTAATACAGCCCTTCGGGGCTACACTTTATGACACCAAACACCAACCTAGCCTCTGGATAGGCCCTTTGTTGTAGATAACCTACTTGGGCACCAACAACTTTCTTTTCCTGATAAGACCTTGCAAATGTTTCTTTGAACCTACTTTTGAAAATAAAGGACACAATTAAATTCAGCTCTGAAGTAGTGTTCACAGATAGGACAATTTTGTAATTGGAAAAATTCTGAGTCCTTAAGTCCTTCCTATCTCCTCAGGTTTCAATTCATAAGAGTTCCCCAAGTGGACTTCAGAGGTCCAGGTTTTAATTTAGTCCTTTGGAAGCACATTATAGGCAAAGTACTTGAATTTCTTCTGAGTGAGGTGAGCTTCTGAATGTAAGCTTGGCTTGTAATGCACTTAAGTTGAATCACAGATGTGTGAAAAAAAAATAACTTGCAAATGCAAAATATGTGAAGGAAAAAGGATACAGAGTTTTTCAGGAAGAGTCAGCCAGAATACACAGAGCAGCAGCAGCAACATATGTGAAAAAGGCACTTTTTTCTGAATAATTGCTTTTCTCACTTCATCTTATTCTACCTACAAACGCCATAAGCTGACACGCCTAGAGTGGAGGAAAACGTTTTCCTGGGCACATAAGCAGTGTTACTGACACTTTGCCATTAAAGTCATGGGAATTCCTTTGAGATTAAGTGTGCAGTCTCAAGTTTCTCATTAGAGAGAAAAGGCCGGGTTTTATTTCTTACCAAAGTTGCTTGAACAATAATTGCTCTCCAGAGTCCCCGACCGTCTACACTTTTGTTGACACAGGGCTACGGTGGGTTTTAAACCTTAAGTCAAAGAAGAAATTCAAAGAAGGAAAACATATGATTCAGGAAAATGAACTCAAGTATAATTGGTGTTTACATCTAAACCTATTTAAAATTAACATTTATTTCCTAAGCCACTAATTTGGCATTGCCATGAAATAATTATAAACCATGCAAAAAAAAAAATTCCAGTCCACCAACAATTGCTCTAATTTCCTCAGGGCAACCGAATACCTCTTTTGAATTTTAAACCCAAGAGCAAAGATAATCCAAATTTAGCCCTATTCTCTTTTTCCTTTCTATACAACTAACACCAGGACCAAAAATAGATACACTCTTTGTATACCCTGCTGCGAAAAACCTAATCCAAAAGTGCTTGAAGACCTAAGATACAGGGTAATTCTTCCTTTATACAAGGAATCCTAGAATGGTTCCCTGGGGATAGAAAGGTACTTTCTGGATACATTGATCAAGATATATTGCATTCATCAACTGCTTTGTTAAATGGGAACTCCTTAGTACAACTACTTAAAGATAATTTAAAAAATAAGCTTAAAGGGCTAAGAAGGTGGCTCAGTGGTAGAGCACTTGCCTTGCATGCATGAGGCCCTGGGTTTGATTCCTCAGCACCACAATAAGCAGAAGAAAAAAAAAGCCGGAAGTGGCGCTGTGGCTCAAGTGGTAGAACGCTAGCCTTCAGCTGAAGAGCTGAGGGACAGGGCCCAGGCCCAGAGTTCAGGGCTATGACCGGACACAAAATAATAATAATAATAAGCTTAAAAAGAAAACGTGGTGAGTGCTGGTGGCTCATGCCTGTCATCCTAGCTACTCAGGAGGCTGAGATCTGAGGATCACAGTTCAAAGCCAGCCCAGGCAGGAAAGTCCATGAGACTCTTATCTCCAATAAACCACTCAGAAAATCAGAAGTGGCATTGTGGCTGAAGTGGTAGAGTGCTAACCTTGAGCTGAGGAGCTGAGGGACAGCACCCAGGCCCAGAGTTCAAGCCCCATGACCAACAACAACAACAAAAATATATACATATATAATATATTGTATATATTATATATATATTTGTATGTAATTGCCTGACTAGAAGTCATTCAGGGTTTTAGAAATTCTCACATGTAACATGTTGTATCTGTCACTTGATGTAAGTAAGCACTGACTAAATACTTACTTTGAGGCTGGCTGTGGCTAGGAGGATCTTAAGAACTGAGAAGTAGACAGATTTTAAAGTAAATCTCGGGCTGGGAAGGTGGCTCAGTGGTAGAGCGCTTGCCTTGCATGCCTGAGGCCTTGGGTTCGATTCCTCAGCATCACATAAGCAAAAAGAAAAAAGCCAGAAGTGGCGCTGTGGCTCAAGTGGTAGAACGCTAGCCTTGAGCTGAAGAGCTGAGGGACAGCGCCCAGGCCCAGAGTTCAGGCCCCACGACCGGACCCCCCCAAAAAAATTAAAGTAAATCTCAGTAGGTATACACAGTGGTTCCCCACTGTGTTTTTGCCCTGTAGGTGACAGATGGCAATCTCTGGAAGCAGTCTGGTTGTCATAATTAGGGGATGTTTATGGAATCTAGTGACTGTAGTTACTTTAGTTTCAAGTATTTTTACTTCAAAGGAATCCCTTTTCTGTTTCTAATGCATGTGCACAACTTCCAAACTAAAGAACTTACCCACAGTGACAGGGTACGCTGTGGTAGCAGGCGGGGCTGGAGTGGTGGGCAGCTTTTTTGGCCTGAATTTGTAGTGACCAATGAACCCGTCTGCTGTTAAACTTAAGTCTGATAAAAACTGAATGAGAAGTTCATTTTTCTCAGATACAATTGGCCTAAAAGGAGACAAATGGAAAGTTTAAGTGGTACCTCTCTGAAATTCTAAAGATCTTACCAAGGTAATTTGCTTAAATCTAAAAGCTCACACTCTTGAATAAAAAGGTCAAAGTCCTCATCTGCTAAACAATAATGCACTGTGTTTGCTCAGCCAAGTACTCTATTTCTTCCATTCCATCTCCACTACAACCCTGAGATCAGCCCTTTTTTATGGGCTAGACACCTGAGGAAGAGCATTCAGGTGGTTTGTTCAAGGTCCCATCACCAGCCTGTAGAAGTTAGCTAGGCTTTGCTGGTAGTGTTGGATGGGCCTCCAACTTTTTTTTTTTTTTTTTTTTTTTGTCGGTTGTGGGGCTTGAACTCTGGACCTGGGTGCTGTCTCTGAGCTCCTTCAGCTTAAGGCGAGTGCCCTACTACTTGAGCCACAGTGCCACTTCTAGTTTTCTGGTGGCTCATTGGAGATCAGAGGCTCACAGATCTTGTCTTGGGCTGACACTGAACTGTGATCCTCAGATCTCAGCCTCCTGAGTAGCTAGGATAACAGGCGTGAGCCACCAGTGCAGGGCCTGAGGCTCTTCCAACATGGAGCCTAAGAATCTGTTGACCAAACAGCAGCATAAAACCTTCCATAATCTAAAGTACTTGGGCAATTTCATAAAAAACAAGTTTAGACTCATTAAAATATTAAAACCACAAACAGGTGTTACTTACGCAGGTGGACTGTCCCCACAGAACTTCCCAATTCTGTTAGCATCATTGACTTCTCCGCCATTAAACACAGCCACATAATCGTATCGGCAATAGTTATCACGCTCCAGGTCAAACTTCTCAAACTTTAACTCGATAAGCTTTTGAAGAAGCACAACATTAGAAATGTCAGGTGACAGTGGTGTATAATATTAGATGGACTTCTCCCACTTTCCAGATTTGCTAGGATTTTTGTTTGAAAAATGTCTTTTTCTGTTTAAATCTTTTTCTTGTTGTGTATTTCTTATTAAGAAAACTGTAGTTTTCTTTCACTTTCATTTTTAATCACTACAAAATATGATCTCAAAACCAGATCGACCCTCACTAGTGTCGTACATCCAACAGCTCAGTTCTCTCGCAGTTCCTTAGGAAGGATCACTGTATAATTCCAGCTACAATTGGCTCTGGAGATCTATGGCACAGCATGGAAACTATAATTGACACAATTATATGCAAATACACACTTTTTTTTGTCAGTTATGGGGCTTGAACTCGGCCTGGTCACTGTCCCTCAGCTCTTCTTGAACCATGATCCTCAGATCTCACCTCCTTAGTAGCTAGGATTACAGGCGTGAGCCACTGGCACCTGGCTTCACATATATATTATACTTAAAAATTTCTTTTGGGGGAGATCTTAAATTTTCTAGCTGCACCTGCTCACAAGCATAAGTAGGAGAGATGATACATATGTTAAAGAGCTTGATTATACTCTTTCAGAATGTATGCGTGTAAACCCCTGGCTTTGCTAATTAAGCAGTGTCAACATCAAGCTGTATAATCTACATACATATATTTTTATTTGTCAACTATATCTCATAAAGCTGGGAGGAGAAAACAAAATGAGAGATAAGAGATATGAGCCACTCAACTAGTAGTATTTTTTTAAGAAACATATAGAAGGACCTACACAAGTAGTGTTCTTAATCATTTCTACGAAGTTATGTTTAAAAGCTCCCCAAATTCAAGCTTCATCTATTCCTGCATCAAGTTCTGTCCTTAATATCTGAAAGTAGCACCTCAAAAGGGCAAAATTTCATACAATCCACAAGCTAATACATACTAGAAAAGTAGACCTTCTTTGCTGATCTGCTCATCCATCCATCCATCCATCCATCCATCCATCCATCCTCACTTTCACAGCACTGGAGATGAAACGTAGGTTTCATCTTGCTTATGCTAAACAAACACTCTACTGCTGAGCTTTACTTTCAGCCCCTATTCATTGCTTACAGCAAAGCTTTTTGTGGGAAACAATTTTTATTTTAAACTGCAGTCTCTAAACACCCTTCAACAGACCCATTTTCAAATCAGACACCGGTTCTTTGAGGAGCTCGCCCGCCGTGCTTGCATGATGTCTGGCTTTGTTGGCGCAAGGCATGCAGGCTGTTTTTGGTTTGGTGACCAGGACATGATGTGTGAGCTGTGACAATGAGGATCCTGGAATGTAGATGTTGCTGGGGATTTTTAACACCTCCCCCTACCTCCAGCTGATCCATGCCACTTAACAGCACCAGGCTCCTAACGCCTGCTCCAGGGTGGAGCCATCTTAGGTGGGATTTGCTTACCGTTTATATTTTTAAAATGTGTTTGCAAATGATAATTCTATCATCGGAAATTAAGTCCCTGGCTTTGCAGATTAAACAGTGCCCAGGGCAAGTCAGCTTGGATCTTCACCTGAGGAAGGGCCTGTGTCCGGCATGGCTTTTTCTCCCTGGATCCTTAGCTCTCACACCAGGAGCCACGCCATCCAGGCCGGTCACACCATGCTTTCCTGGCATTGCCTGGAGTCTCACCTTGTTCTTGGGGGCCAGGATGTGCCACACACAGGTGACCCCTGCAGGGTAATCCCGGTCTGGCCAGTTGGGGGTTTTAAAAGAACCAGAAGGTTTTTCAAGGCGCCCTCCACAATACAGGTCTCCTGAAGTGATTAAATATAGGAAAAATAAATAACAATCTAAGTTATATCCCAATGCAAGCTAGGGCAATACAACCCTCTGAAGACGAGGAGCTAATAGGAGACTGTATAAGCTAATAGGCCTATTAGCTCATGCTAAACTTAGGTTAGGGTAGAGGCTCTTGGTTGGTTGGTTGGCATTCCTGAGCTCTCTGTTTGAGAACTGCTCCAGAGCCTTAGGCAAAAGGAGTAACCATACCTCAAGTGCCAAGTAAATGTACATCAAGCGTCCCCAACCCCCAGCTGGCATCTGTCACAGTGATGCATCGATAAGAGTTGGTTCTGCACTGAATGGAAGCCGTACCTCTTTCGTTGGGTTGAGCAGCAGAGAACATGGCCATGAAGCCATTTCCAGCTGTGTTGGCATCAGAAATCATCTGTACCATCATCTTGTTGCCACTGGACACGAGGGCTCCCGGGCGGAAGGTGCCGCAGAAGCGCCCGATGCGCTGGCCATTGGCGTGGCCATTGTACACGTCCACAAAGTCATAGCGGCACAGGTTGTCACTCTCGAGGTCTATGAACCGGAAGTTGAGAACCACCACTTTTCCCTCGGGGACCTGTCAAGACAAGGGACAAGGAGGACACTGTGTCTAGTCAAGGATACAAGTGAGAAGGTCCAAGTGTGGTACCAGGCTGGGTTGTGGCTCAGTGACAGAGTGCTTGCCTTACATGCGTGAAGAAGCCCTTGGGTTCAATTCTCAGCAATAAAAGGGGGATCATCCAAGATGATCTTTTTTTCCTCTTTCAAATCTGAACTGTAGGCAAAGTTTTCCAGTAAACTGCATTCCTAATATATAATTACTGATTCTCTTCTGAAGAATTACTGATTCTTTTCAGAAAAATTCCATTATTGTCTAGGGAAACAGTCTTGTTTCTTAAGAGTTTATCTCAACAGATTCTCAGTCTTTTTAAATGATGTCATTGCTTACACAAAGAACCCCCAGGTGATCTGTACCAGTGTGGGTCTATGGTACCCAGAGACAAGTGTCAGCATACATTGAAAGTCAAAGAGAAATTCTATTATGGATTAAATGCATGTGATTGTGGGTCTTTCCAGTGTATAACATCTGATGAGCAGTCAGCATCAACTAATGCCCCCTGGTGCAGACTTCTTGTTTTGGGTGATACTGGGATCTAACTTCAGGGTTTGATGCTTGCTAAGCTGGCACTGTTCCACTTGAGCCTCACACTCAGCCATGTTTGCTTTCACTATTTTTCAGATAGGGTCTTGCTTTTGGACTAGGTTAGTCCTGGATCTCTCGCCTTCTATGTATGCCTTATTCATGGCTTGCTTGTTGAGATGAGGTCTCCTAGCTTTTTGCCAGGGCTGGTTCTACTATGGTGCCAATAAGAGTCCCTGATTGTTATTCTCTGAAGAGGAGTTCCCACTTGAGTCAACAGTCTGGATTTTTCTTTGTGAAGGATATGTGTGTGTGTATGTGTGTGTGTGTATACTCACACATATATATCACAGAAAGATGCACAGAACAATATAATACACATATGCTAATGAACCAGAATTGACTTGACCACACGAGTGAAAATCTCCTTTAGTAAAATACAACATTGCTGATAAACCTGAGGCTTCCTTTGCCTCCATCTCAGGCCACATTTTCTCCTTCCTTTCTCGGAAGCACTTTCACAAATTTAGTGGCTTTCCTTCCATGACCTTCAAAATAGCTTTATACATACGTGTGTGTGTGTGTGTGTGTCTGTCTGTCTGTCTGTCTATGCCAAACATATCATTTCGTGCCTGTTTTCTCTCAGAAAATTCCCTCCTACTGAAACACTCACCCAGACACCCTCCAGCCCTGAAATGGGCTCTGCCCAGTAGACAGCCCTTCCCTCAAAATCCCTTCCTCATGCTTTTTTCCTGAAGAGGGAGCTATGAGAAGCAAAGCGCCCTCATGCCTTGCCCGTGGTTGCACCCCTGGCCTCTGGCACAGCACACAGCCCAAGTCAAGGCCCAACCTCAAAAATATTTGTTGCATGAATGGATCTATTAGGCACTAAATGAAAGCACCACGCAAATCCTGGACAAGATTCCTACTGAGTGGCTCCTCCTCTTGCAGCAGAGCTCCGAAGGGCATGTTCCTTTTTCTAGGTCGTGTCTGGGCCTTTATATTTTAGAGGCAGATACTTGCTGTGTAGCCCAGGCTGGGCTTTGAATGTAAGCATCGTTCTTCCTGAGCCTTTCAAGTGCTGGGCTGACAGGTGTGTACCACCACATCCAGCTTCTTCTAAGTCAGTCTGTACAATAAGAACATGCATAGCCCTTTGGAAGCTTCTTATGTCAAATCTACAAATGCTACCACTAGAAGTAGAAACTCAGTGAACTTGAGTTTTTTTTTGGTAGTTACTGTGTTGTGAGATTATCTGCCTATGGGAAAAGGATTCAGTCCCTGTGTTTTTTCCTGTCAACAGCTGGGCCCTGTATGGCACCGACTTGTGAAGCCTAAGGCTTGGACAGTGACCTCAGCTCACCCCACGGCTCCTGGGACGTCCCTCCCATCACAGGCAAACCAGCCAAGCGCTTTCGATGCCAGGGCTCCTGCCAGCAAGCAGGGAAATGCATCTGAAGTCAGTGCTTTGCATTTTCAGGATATGCCAGCAAAATGCAAACAGAGGATGCTGCCTCAAGAGCACACTAATGCAGAAATGTTCCACTTTGCATCCACAGCTTCTCCCCCAGACCTGACCTCACAGTATGTCTGATTTGCCTTTTCCACAGACAGACCTGTAGGAAGTCACGCTCTAACCTGCACACCACAGTTTATTTACCTAACACTGCAGAGGCAACGTATTCCCACACCTACCCCTAAATGTAAGCCAGACATATGTATGGACAAATTAGGTTGAAATATATGTCCATCTTTCAAGAGGGAAATATATCAGAAGCTTGCAATCCTCCTATTTACCCTTTCCACATGCTTGAGATAAGAACTTCTCCATGTCCAGCCTTTTCTGTGGAGATGGGACACCGGAGGGGCGTTACGTTTCTCACAAACTTTTTGCCTGAGGCAAACACTACTGAACTATCATCCTCCCAACTTCTGTCTCCCGAGTCTAATTAGGCTTACAGGTGTGACTCACTACACCCAGACCTTCATATCTTGACTCTCGACCTCCCCATTCTCACTTGCATCTACTCATTTTCTTTCTTTGTGCAATTTCTACCTGGAATATTCTCTGTACCTCCAATCACTGACTCTCACTTTAATTTTGAAGTCAAAGTCAAAACCAGGACACTGCCTTCTCACCCCTCATTCCAGTGCCCAGATCCAGGGGAGGAGGGCATTATCTCCCCTTTTCTACTCCAGGGCCCACTCTTCCCTCTGGATGGGTATGCCAGGCCTCCCAGGTCTCTGCAGCAGGCCTTTACCCAGCAGTTAACCATGTTCCACTCTGATTGACCTGCGTCTGCTCCACTCAACCTTCCATGGGCAGCTGGAGGCCAGGCATGCACAAAGCACGTGGAAGGTGGGGATGATGGGCCAGGAAACATTCTCTGTCCTCACTTCATGTATCCTGCTCTCAACCGTTCCAATGTGTCAATAGTTCTGAAATAGAAACTCTTGAGGGTCCACACAGCCACAGCCCACAGTCTCCCTGGAGCAAGTTGAGACCTCCAAGCAAGTAAGGGATGTTACAAGTGTACTACACTGGTCCCAGGTGGACTTTTTCCTTACGGTCTCTCAATCCACATGTAAAGGAAAGCTGAGTTTTTTAAGTCAAGATACTCATTTCTTTTTCAGGGTTGTGTTTTATGATCAAAGATTGCAGAAGGTCGTGAAAATTAAGTTGAGCCGCCGGGCACTGGTGGCTCACGCCTGTAATCCTAGCTACTCAGGAGGCTGAGATCTGAGGATTGCGGTTCAAAGCCAGCTCGGGCAGGAGAGACTGTGAGATTCCTATCTCCAATAAACCACCAGAAAACCGGAAGTGGCGCTGTAGCTCAAGTGGTAGAGCGCTTGCCTTG